ATTGGCATGTACTAATAAACCTCTCTCGTACCCCATTTACTGTTTAAATAACAGACATTATTCATGTTAATGCTTCAGCCACGGCTTTTAGATCTGAGGCTCACAAGCATACGCGGTTATACTTAGTGCTTTCACTCATGAATCTCATGTTTAGGAAGGTTGGTAACCACATTTTTCCCTTTTACAGAAGGAGAAGATTAAATTACAACTCAGATTTCAAAAGTATCAACTACACTTACTGCAGATATCTTCATTTTTAATGCCTTTTTAAGACATTTGGAGTCACCACTGGCCTGATTTTCAAAGGTGCTAAGCACCCAGTTTCAGCTGATTGACAGGATTAAGGCACCTGATGCTTCCTTTAAAATCTTTGCCTTTTTCTTCTGGCTAATGGTGACCTCTTGGTATAGGAAGACTTGATGTCACTGCATGATGAAGAAATAAGAATAATGTGAGGCTAAAAATATGTCACTTTGGCCAAGTACCAAACAGCAGTTTCAACCCTCTCAAATTTGAGTTGGTCTTAATCCCAAACTAGACCTCAGCAACACTTTATTTGGCATTTACATTAGGCCAGGGAACATACTTGGTTATGTTATTCTAGCTTCTTATTTTTATAGTTCCAAACATTCTGACAAAATCTTGCTCAATCCATAAACTGTGGATGCATAGTGATTTCATTATTACAATTCAAACGCATGCTTTTTGTTAGTAAGCCTGGGCAAATACATTGCAATCTGCTTGTACAATGCCATACTACTATTTCTTACCTTTGCAGCACTGTAACAGAGGAGTGCTGCACTCAACAGGGTGCAGGTAGTTTTCTCTTCGATCCTTCTGGTTACAGGTCACGGGCATAGGAGGGAGAAATGTATTGAAGAAGTCAACAGAAGACTGCAGTGTTGGTGTTATCGCGAAGACTTTGGCTTCTTCGATCACAGTCTGCACTTCAGAGAGAGAGGCAGCAGTTTGTTGGGAAGGGATGGCGTCCACCTCACTCCAGGGGGAAAGAAGCTCTTCTTAGCCAGAATGGCTGACCTACTTGACAGGGCTTTAAACTAAGATTGCCGGGGGATGGGCGGACAATCACTAGCGCAAGCCCTGGAAGTGACAACCACAGAATCAGTAGGTCAAGTAACACAAGGGAACTCACTCCTACCCCAGCCCAAGGACAGGACTCTTCTGAGAGGACAGGGAAGCCCAGGGCTTCTGATGGCAAGCTTAGCTGCCTGTACACAAATGCCAGGAGCATGGGGAACAAACAGGAAGAACTGGCCCTTCTGCTAAGTAAAAATGAATCTGATCTCTTAGGGATAACAGAAACCTGGTGGGATTCCACCTATGGCTGGACCACAGGTATAGATGGCTATACCTTGTACAGGAGGGACCATGTCGGGAGGAAGGGTTGGGGTGTAGCTCTCTATGTGAAGGAGCAGTACGCTTCCCTACAAGCAGAGATTGGCACCCAAGGAGGGTGACTCGACTTGAGACCCTCTGAGTTAGGATACGGGGAGAACGTGGTGAAGGGGATATAACTGTAGGAGTCTATTACAGACCTCCTAACCAGGAAGAAGAGCTTGACCGTGAATTCTCTAGGGAACTGGCAAAGGCTGCATGCTCTCATTACATGGTTGTCATGGGCAACTTCAACCACCCTGACATCCACTACCACTAAGAAGGATTATGCAGCACTGGCCCACACCTGGAGGGAGTGGACCAGAAAAGCCAAGGCTGAAACCAAACTCAAATTGGCTACAAGAACCAAGGACAATAAAAAGTCCTCCTTCATATATGTGGGAAGTCAGAAAAAAAACAAGGACAACATCAGACCCCTGCAATGTGGCAGCTGACAACTGACACCCAGGAAAAAGCTAATCTCCTCAACGATTACTTTGTGTCAGTTTTCCACCAGCCCAAGAGAATCACCCTGCCTGACAGGACACAGGACTACCGGGGTAAGGGCGATCATACGCCTATAACTGGCGAAGATCTTGTGAGGGAACAGCTTGAGAGGCTGGACATCCAGAAGTCAGCTGGCTCAGATGCAATGCACCCAAGAGTGCTAAAAGAGTTGCTGACATCATAGTATGACCAATGGAGAGGATGTTTGAGACCTTCTGGTGCTCAGGAGACGTTCTTGAAGATTGGAAGAGGGCCAATGTGGTGCCTATCTTCAAGAAAGGAAAGAAATAAGATTGAGGGAACTACAGGCCAATCAGTTTGACCTCAATCCCTGGAAAGACCTTGGAAAAATTCATCAAAGAAACCATCAACAACAGGGTAACGAAAGGCAACATTCTAAGAGAGAGCCAACATGGCTTCATTGTTGGTAGGTCTTGCCTGACCAATCTCATTTCCTTTTATGACCAGGTGACACATCACCTGGACAAAAGCCAAGGGGTTGATGTCATATATTTAGATTTCAAAAAAGCCTTTGACTTGGTCTCCCATGATGTCCTTATGGACAAATTGGGGAACTGTGGCCTCGACAACATTATGGTCCGACGGCTGGGGAACTGGCTCGGTGGTTGGACCCAGAGAATGACAGTCAATCGAACCAAGTCAACATGGTGCATGGTGACCAGTGGCGTCCCCTAGTGCTCAGTACTTGGACCAGTACTCTTTAGTATATTCATAAATTATCTGGATTCGGGTGTTAGAAGCAGACTGTTCAGGTTCACAGATCACACCAAATTATGGGGAAGTGCGGACACACTAGAGGATAGGCTGGCAATTCAGGCCAGCCTGGACAGACTCGCAAGGTGGGCGGATCAAAACCTTATGACATTTAGCATGGAGAAATGCATGGTGCTCCACCTTGGGAGAAAAAATCCACATTATACTTATAGGCTTGGCAGTGCTACACTAGCGCCATGACTGAAAGAGACTTGGGCGTCCTGATTGACCACAAGATGAGCATGAGCCACCAATGTGATGCCACAGCCTGCAAAACAAATAAAACTCTGTCTTGCATCTACTAGTGCATCTCAAGCAAAACCCAAGAAGTCATCCTCCTACTTTACTCGGCCTTGGTGAGATTGCAGCTGGAGTCCTGCATCCAGTTCTGGGCTCTGCAGTTTAGAAAGGATGTAGAGAAGCTTGAGAGAGTCCAGAGGAGAGCCACGCACATTATTAGACGCTGAGAGGCATAGGACTCTTCAGCCTGAAGAAACAAAGGCTCAGGGGTGATTTGGTGGCAACCTGTAAGTACATAAGGGGTGTGTATCAGGAACTGGGAGAATGTCTGCTCACCAGGGCACCTCAAGGGCAGACAAGGTCTAATGGTCACAAACTGCTGGAAAACCATTTTAGACTGGACATAAGGAAAAACTTCTTTACCATCTGAGTTTCCAGAGTCTGGAATAGACTCCCCCCAGAAGTTGTGCCAAGCACCTGCTCTGGGCATGTTCAAGAAGCATTTGTATGATTATCTTGCTGGGGTCATCTGACTCCAACTGACTTCCTGCCCCCTGGGCAGAGGCTGGACCCGATGATCTCACAAGGTCCCTTCCAGCCCTAATGTCTTTGAAATCTATTAATCTTATTTTATACTCTTGTCACCATCTGAAGGAACTGATTTCCTTAAAACGTCATCTGCGTCAGCAACTCTGAGGGCCTGTTTATTACAAGATCAGGTACATTTACTCTTAGTGCTATTCTGATTATTCCTTGCTTCCATGTGCTGGATACCAAAGTAAATTCTATTCTAGCAGCAAGGATGAATGTTTGTATCTTGGTGGAGAGGGAGGCAGAAGGTGTTTTCTGATGTTCCCCTTTCTTTTTAGTGTATTCCTGTCTTGGAATAGAAATGAGTTACCCATCTGAGCTGGACACTTGTGGATGTTTGCGACTGGTCTGTAGACAAATGTAAACCCAGGAGGTCATTCCTGAGCTAATGCTTATGAGAACCTCTGAGGAGAATGCAATGAGATGTAATGCAATGAAAACCTCTGAGGAGCAGTAAGGAGGAGGAGCAGGGCACTTTTAACATATGAACCAGCTGTGCTGCCTTCTGTATATGGAAATGAGCAGTTTTTATACCCAGGATGTCTCCAAGGGCTTTTACTGTATCTGGAGAAATACAAGAGAAGTCAAAGCAAGTTCCTCCAAACTATGCACTGTTTCATTGGGACATTATCAATCAGGCAATATTTAGAAAAGCAGCTACATACAGCAGAGAGTTCACAACCATACTCACTACTGGGTGGTGAGGTCTTGGGGCCCTCAGAATCTGTCCTCTGGGTTTCAGGCAAGTTTCAGACTCCCACACAGCTGCCTGCCTCTGTGTGGGGGAGTTGTATACTGGTCAGGGCCAGAGTTCTGTATCCCTGCCCATTCCTCTGAGATGAGGATCTCTGGGCCAACTCAGCAGGGAAACTGAGTCATGTGCTGTGACCATTCTTCTTTCCTAAGGTGGCTTATTAATAATGAGCATGATCACTGGCTTGTGCATCTCCACTTCCTCCAAACCGGAGTGGACAATCCCTTGTTTCACATGATCATTGCGATTCAGACGGAACTGCTTCTGGGATCAGAGTACCTGGGAGGACGAAAGCGGCAACAACCCCAGCACAGCAAGGAGGGGCGGGGGGTGCTCAAGACTCCCCAGCACGGAGGGCGGCCGGAGACGGTGCTGCTGAAGGGTGTTTACTGATCCCTCCTGCACTCCCTTTGCTCCTTTGTTGCCCACCTCCTGCCTGCAGAGGGAGAAGCCTTTCCTCCGGGCGTCCTGAACACCGCTCGTCCCGCTTGCAGCTGGATCCTGGAGTTCCTCCCCTCAGCTCTGCCGGGAGCGGAGACAGCAGAGCCCCGCAGGCCGCCGCTCACGTGTCCGTAGCTCCCCGGGCCGCCCCGGCGCG